GTCCCCAACAAGGACAGCTTCCCTTCAGCCAAGTTGATAACCCCGTCATGTCTGTCGTCGGTTTCCTTGCTAGCTTGGCAGACCCAGCCAGTACAGCAGCGGCCGCAAGCAAATCCGCCGAAGAGCTCAAGCGCAAGCTCCGCAAGCAGCTCGACGGTGACAAAGCCGATGACGATTCCCAGGCCAACGGTGACAACAAAGCCAAGAGTGACTCTATGGATATCGACCTCCGACAAGAGACCACGATGACTACAACCACAACTACGACTACCACCACCACCACAAAGACAAACGCGCTTGCATCCATTCCTCTGGCTTCGATAGGGGCTAGGGCTGCCGGATTTGCCTCTCATGAAGAACGCGAGATGACTCGCCTAGTTTCCGCTGCTTCAAATGTGACGCTACAAAAGCTTGAATTGAAGCTCAAGTATTTCGACGAGATGGAGGCCGTCCTGCGGGCGGAGCGTCGAGAGCTTGAACGGGCAAGACAGCAATTGTTCCTCGATCGATTGACCTTCCGACGTAGGGTTCGAGAAGTGCAGGAGGGCCTGAAGGCTGCCGCGGCTGTTGGAGGCGAACGAGGCGTACGACTTGCACAAGAAGCTATGAGCGAAGGAGACCGGTTGAGCTTCCAGGCTGTCCCAGGCGCCCAGGCTGTCCCACCTCCCAGCAGTGATGCCCAAATCAAGAGCTATGAGGCATGATGGATAGAATTGAGACTGGGTAGCGTGAGCTCTGATTAGGGGAAAGCACTGTTTGGACACTTGGAATTAAAGTCACGGCGTCTGGTTGGTATAAGGAATTGAAGTGCCGGGATCATCGCCGATCTCAAGCTGTGCCACTTTCTGTCACTTAATATGAGCTGCCTCTACGCGATGCTGGTACAATTGTGACGGGTGAGATTGAAGCGTAGCCTTCTTGAGGGTCTCTACAGCCCCTGACTTGAGACAACTTGGGAGATTCTTCAAAAAACAACTTGGCCACTGATGGACACAAGGCCTGCAAGTTAATCTCGTCTTCTGAGGATGGTGTACTAGTACATGGTATAGATGCTTTGGTGGGTTTGTCGCAGCAGAAATTATTTGGTCAATGAACGGTTGGGTTGTAAATTGGCGAATTGGAATGTTTTATATTAGCTGTTATGTTCTCTGCCTATCTCCCTCCCTCTCTCTCTCTTTCATTTTGTAATCCATGGCTCTCATATTCCACTGTGTATGTTGGGTTTTGCTGTTTGCAACAATGCATTGAGATAGTTCACATTGTGAATGACAGACCACATCGATGGTCGGGTAAACGGGAAAGAGACAGTATATAAGGTAAAGTGTAATAGATCAAATTCCCAATACTCCCTCCAAATGGCGATTTAAGGGTTTGGAAGATGCCAATGGGCCAAGGGAACAAGTAACATCAGCTGGAGATGAGCTCTCTCCACTTCCCCACGATCAGGGAAAACTGGGGTACCCTAGATCCAGGTTTTGACATGTTAACTATTGTTTTCTTATGGCACTGTGGTGAACTCCGTAGTTAAAATTGGTGGACTAGTTTTGAATAATGACTGGAGGCATCCATGCGAGCAATTACAATAGAGCATAATAAGCTGACTACCTTCTGATAGAAAAATGCTTCGACTTTGTCTAACCCTTGTAGTTGGGACCGACGATGCCTGCTTAGCCACCTTACACCTGAATACTACCAGTCGGTCAGGTTGGAGTAAAGAGGCTCAAGTGATTGCCTCGGAGATGGTGGATCCATCAGATGCATGCACGACATGATTGGCTGGAAAAGGCATCCCCAGCCCCGGGCAGGCCACCTCAGTCCCACCCGTCGGCCCTTGAAAGTTCGTACCTCGGCCCAAGGCTTTTGAGGGGCCCGGGTGACGTCTCGGTCACAAGCAAGCGTCGTATTAACTAACTACTCCATAACAAGTCTCGTGCCGGGCTGATATCATTGCGTCTGTCCATCCCATACCATACCATACCATCCAATCCAGTCTAATCTGGTGACCCTTGTCCCCTACTCCACGATCGACTCCATTCTGGAAGCTTGCCGTCTTCTGAGCCGAGGCCAGAGCAATAAGCGTCTTGTGCGAAACCGGCACTATTGCTGTTCCAATATAGAGCCCCGACAATATTTGTCGCATACATACATACATACATACATATCTACCCCAACTCTTTTCGGCTGTCGTCTTGACGTTTCCTACTCTTCTTCTTTGATCGCTTGTCTTTCGCGTTGGCCATGTTGTTGACTTCAGCCCGCTCGCCCGCCCTTAGGAACAGCTTCCGTAACCTCACCAAGACACGCGCTGTAAGTCAACCCCTTCGCTCGTTATAAGGCATCGTCAAATGTGGTCGACAAAGAGAAGAGGCATGGCAGTCCATCGGCTATCCTATCCTATCCTATCCTCTCCTCCTCTCACTTCTCGCTCATGGATGGATGTCGAGTCATTGGCGGGCGGCAGGCTAGGGTCCTAGGATTGCTTGCTTGCTTGTGATTGAATGCTCCACTCGCCCGGATCCATGATAGACGGATCAACAGGCATCACAGTTGCTCTTCCACTCAAGTCGATCGTCTTGGCCCATTTCACCATGAAACGCGCCTACTCTGACCGATAAACGTATCTGACAATCTGAGAAACAGGCGCAAACTTTCATCATGGCACCCACAAAGCGAGCCAACAGCTCCGCCGCCTCCTCAGGTATGCGCTATCCTCCGCAAACCTGAACCTTTCGGACCCAACGTGCTGATGCAAATTACGAGTAGGCTATGTTGAGAACCACTCCAAGGGACCCATGCTGCGATGGCAAGACTCCCTTCCTAAATTGCCCGTCCCAACACTCGAGGAGACTGCGAAGCGTTATCTCAAGTCGCTCCACCCCCTCCTATCTGCCAGCGAGTACGAGGCAAGCAAGAAGGCCGTCGAGGAGTTTATCCGCCCTGGTGGTGTTGGCTCCAAGCTTCAGGAGAAGTTGATGGCCAAGCGCGAGGACCCCAACACCAAGAACTGGATTTACGAGTGGTGGAACGATGCGGCCTATCTCTCATACCGCGATCCCGTCGTCCCCTACGTCAGTTACTTCTACTCTCACCGGGACGATCGACGAAGAAGAGACCCCGCGAAGCGAGCTGCTGCCATCACAACATCTGCCCTCGAGTTCAAGAAGCAGGTTGACGCAGGCACCCTTGAGCCAGAGTACATGAAGAAGTTGCCTATCTGCATGGACAGCTACAAGTGGATGTTCAACGCTTCCCGTGTTGCGGCTAAGCCAGCCGACTACCCTGTCAAGTTCCCAGCCGAGGAAAACAAGCACATTATTGTTATTCGCAAGAATCAATTCTTCAAGATCCAACACGAGGTTAATGGAAAGCAGCTCAACACGTCAGAGCTTGAGCAGCAATTCAAGCGTGTCTATGAGCTTGCCCAACGCGTTCCTGCCGTTGGCGCTCTCACCTCAGAGAACAGAGATGTCTGGACTGACGCTCGTGACATTTTGCTCAAGGCCAGCCCCAAGAACAAGGACGCTCTGGAGGCTATTGAGTCGTCATCTTTCGTGGTTTGCCTCGACGATGCGGCTCCAGTCACACTCGAGGAGCGTGCTCACCAATACTGGCACGGCGATGGTGCTAACCGCTGGTACGACAAGCCTTTGCAGTTCATTGTTAACGACAATGGCACTTCTGGCTTCATGGGTGAGCACTCCATGATGGACGGTACTCCCACCCATCGCCTCAACGACTACGTCAACGACCTCATCTTTGGAAACAAGCTCGATTTCTCAGATCCCAGCATCCGATCCAACTTGCCTGAACCACAGGTCGTCAAGTTCGACATCACAAAAGAAGTACAGAGCGAAATTGATCGCGCGACCAAGGACTTCAACGATGTCATCAGCAAGCACCAGCTTGCCGTTCAGGCCTATCAGGGTTACGGAAAGGGTCTCATCAAGAAGTTCAAGTGCTCTCCTGATGCTTACGTTCAGATGGTTATCCAGCTCGCCTACTACAAGATGTATGGCAAGAGTCGACCTACTTATGAGTCTGCTGCTGTCCGACGCTTCCAACTTGGACGTACTGAGACATGCCGAACTGTCTCTGACGACTCTGTTGCCTGGGTCAAGTCCATGTCTGATTCCTCCATTGACGAAAAGACACGCGTGGATCTCTTCCGCAAAGCCATCAATGCCCACGTTGAATACATCACCGCTGCCTCAGATGGCAAGGGAGTTGATCGACATCTCTTCGGTCTTAAGAAGCTTCTCGAGCCCGGCCAAGAGGTCCCTGCCATCTATCAGGATCCCGCATACAGCTACTCCAGCTCATGGCACTTGTCCACCTCTCAGCTTAGCTCAGAGTTCTTCAATGGTTACGGTTGGAGCCAGGTCATCGATGCTGGTTTTGGTATCGCATACATGATCAACGAGAACAGGTATATATTGCCCCCCAAATTCCCAATGGAGAAAGGAGTTTACTAACATGGCGATAGTCTCAACTTCAATGTCGTTTCCAAGGGTCTGGGCAGCGACCGCATGAGCTACTACCTCAACGAGGCAGCTAACGATATGCGAGATCTGCTCACACCTACTCTTGAGGCCCCCAAGGCTAAATTGTAAATATACTCACAACAACATATTTCTCAGGCAGAAGGAGTCTCTTGCTGTTGGATGGATTGGCATACTGTCGCGGTTCAGATCAACGGCGTTTTTACTTTTTGGACAATGTACTCTAGACTTGACCGTCTTTTTGTGCGCTGTCATATATAGATGGCACTAGATATCAGAGCGACATGTTTTTAGCAAAGGCAGCATAGGTTACACAGCCAAAACAATGATGGATAAAAGTTCCAAAATTCTAAAAGAGGCGCCATTCACTCCCAGTGTTAGTTGCCATTACGCGTCTATATATGTGGTACGGGCCCAAATAACTACACCACAGAAAATTGTTCGGAATATCCTATCTGTCCTACTCCTACATATGCGGATCCAAGGTATATACCATCTGCTTTAGCCGGCATGGGCCACAATTTCGTTGACCAAGTCTCCCTTGGACTCGTCGTAATAGGAGCAGATTTGCGAGGGTAGGGGCACCTCCTTATAGTCATCATCTTCGCCAGAAATAACGTTGAGGTTGACACCTGCTGATTTACTGGTGAAAACCTTGGTTCCTATACTCTCCTTGCTGAAGTAGATCTGGGCACTGTCGACCTGATCCAACATGACAGTTGGGATGGTGCCCATGACCTGAAGAGCAAAGTTGTTGGCTTTGACAACATCGACTGTCGAAACAAGGGTATCAACGATCAAGGACAGACGGGTGGAATTCTCGACTGTGACCTGGTTGGCCTTGCCCCTGACAATGATGGTGGTGTTGTTGCAACGGCTGATGAGAACCGAGTGGGTAAGCGAAGCCTCGATCTCAATTGGCTCAGCCTCCTTCTCATAGTTTTCCTGGTAAAACTTAGCAACATACTACCATACTTTTCGCTCACAGAACATACAATAGTCCATTTATTGCCCTCTAGTTCCTTCTTGGCTGGCTTCTTGATACGCATACTCTCGGGCTTAGGCTTCTTGCCAGGAGCAGGGCTCTTACCCCTCTGGCCACTTGAAACCGTTGAGCCACTGCGAAGAGACGGATTCTTATGCGTCATTTCGGACTTGTCCACTTTACGCAGACCCTTGGTGACAGCATCGCCCTTGTTGAGCTCTGAGAAGACAGCTCCGAATCCACCAGATGATGCAGGCGCAGGAGCATCATCTGTCTTGATGTCGAGAACAGGGGGGGGGCCAGGAGGAGGAGGGGGAGGTGGTGGAGGAGCACCAGCAGCAGGTGCCGGGGCAGCGGGAGCGGAAGCAGGCCCAGAACCAGCAGACAATGACTTGAGGACTTCCTGGGCAGGCTGGCCATTCGGATTCCATGGTATGCCTGTTGGGAAGTATTGCTTGACATAATCGGCAAGATCGCGAAACATCTGATAGAAGCTCTGAACCCATTCGATCTGCTTGGGGTCCCTGATATTATGGTTAAAGGTGATCCGCTCAAGCCAGATGGTTGACTTACTTATCCTTCTGCTCCTTCAGTACTCTGTTTCCAAAGAATTGAGCCGAGCCAAGGCACTCGTCCACGTGCTTGTAGGGGCGAGTGTCAATAGTAACCCATGCAAGAACCATGATACCATCGGAGACAGTGCTGAGTTGCGTGTACATAGGGCTAGGACGGTTGGCGTCCTTGAGCTCGGTAACAGCCATCAGTGCCTCGTTTATGGGTTTGATGAGGCTCTCATATACTGGCAGATCAGGTCCGGAGAGGTTTGGCTTCTTCGCCTTTGTGGAAATCAGGAGAAATTTGCGCTGCTCGTGGAAACCAGATTTGACGAGCGCAGCCTAGTATTATACCATGATTAGTCCCTGCCCCGTAGAAGGTGTTGCGTATTCATAATCCTTTAGGTGGTTGTGCGTACCTGCTCAGCGACCAATCCTCCTAGCTGGTGGCTCAACTTCACATATTTATCGACGGAAGTGTTTAGGAAAGCATCAAATTCCTCGATAGATTCTGGCAGCGGCTCGGTGGCAGGCTCGGGCTTCGCGGTAGCGGGAGTAGTGGCCTTGGAATCGGAAGCGGCTGGAAGAGGAGGAGGAGCGGCTAAGGAGGGGTTCGGAGGTGAAGGTATCGCCTGGTTGAGAACGGCGGCATCGGAAGGAGGCTCGGTCGAAGAAGCGATGTCCTCGAGGCGCGAGGTTGCAGCTTCAAGTCTGGATGGCTTTCATCAGCGTCTGCACTCGGGCTGACAACGCAACGAGCGTAAAGAGCTTACCTCTTGATAAGCGTAGTCAAGTTGTGCATCTGACTATTAGCAGCCATGTTGGACAATCGTCTGTTGGGTTGTTATTTGGTCGAAGCACCGGACTAAAAGTGTTCTACTGAAAACAAAAGAAGGTGATGATATGCTTGGGCCCTTGAAAGAATAGTTGATCGGGTGGCAGCGACGTGCTCAGACAACAGGATAGCTGCTTTGTAGGATTGCGCAAGACGGAACGGCGAGTAGCTTTCGAGTTAGGACCTAGGTGCCTAGCTAATGCCACGCAGAAATTCAAGAAAATGAACAGCAAGCTTAGTGATTGACTGAATCAATGCTGTTTCTTTTCGCTAGGTACTTATGCAACAAAGAGAGAGTCAATCAACAGACAATTGAATAGGTACCAACAGACTAAGGGGAGTTTGCGGATTTGGCTCCTCTAGGGTGGATCCTCCTTCTGGAGCTTGTGGTTGATGCCTGAGGTGAGCTGCCATACCTGTCGCGCGACTTTAGGGTGAGCTATGCAACTTAAACTAATATTTACAAACTAGAAATCGTAATATAGATATATAATCCCTAGTTAAAACCACTGCTTTTTTACTAATATTACTTTAACTGCTCTTAAATATAAGGTTAATTAGTTATATATCTAGATATATATATTTAATTAATAGAGATTAATTTAACTTTTATTAACTAACTTATATAAAAGTTAACTTAATTCCTTTAAACCTTTAGTCCTAAAACCCTATTATTACCTTACCTTTATCTTAGAACTTTATTTATAGATATACTTTATATTAAAAGTAGCACCTTCTTTACTATAATAACCCTTTTAGCTATATTAAGAAGCTACTCTTTATATATATTTAAGTTTAGGCCTATAAAGGCAGTAAAAAAGACAGCCTAATTTAATTTAAAGAAATAACCTTTCTTTAAGACTTTTTTCTATATCTTTTAGACTTAATAGCTTATTATTAATTTAATTTAAATTAATTAAGCTAAAATAGCCTATATAATAAATTAACTTAATTAAGTCATAATTAAAGATAGTTATCTTTAGTTTAAATTACTACTTCTTTATTAATATTACTTTAACTGTTCTTAAATATAAGGTTAATTAGTTATATATCCTTATATATATATTTAATTAATAGAGCTAGTTATTATTAACTTTAGGTTAATTTAACTTTTACTAACTAACTTATATAAAAGTTAACCTAATTCCTTTATAAAACCCTGCTATTACCTTATATTTATCCTTATATTAAAAGCAGTACCCCCTTTATTATAATAACCCTTTTAGCTATATTAAAAAGCCACTTTTTATATATATTTAAGTTATTTATAAAGATAATAAGGAATATAGCCTAGTCTAATTTAAGGGGATAACTTTCTTTTTTTATAGGCTTAAATATATATAAAAAGTGGCTTCTTAATATAGCTAAAAGGGTTATTATAGTAAAATAGATACTACTTTTAATATAAAAATAAAGGTAAGGTAATAATAAGGTTAGACTAAAGGTTTAAAGAAATTAGGTTAACTTTTATATAAATTAGTTAGTAAAAGTTAAATTAACTTCTATTAATTAAATATATATATTTAGGTATATAACTAATTAACCTTATATCTAAAAGTAATTAAAGTGATATTAATAGAAAAGCAGTAATTTAAGTTAAAGTTAACTTTTTATAAATTAATTAATAAAAGCTAAATTAACCTAAAGTTAATAATAATTAAATTTATTAATTAAATATATATATTAAGATATATAATTAATTAACTTTATATTTAAGAACTATAAATAAAGTAATATTAATAAAAAAATAATAATTTAAATTAAAAATATAATTAGAATATAATTTAACTTTAAGGCTTATTGAAGTTAAACCTTTTATAGTTTAAGATAATTTATCTTAATTATATAATATTATTAATTTAATAGAAATTAATATTAAAAAGTGGGCTTATAAAAGAGGAATTATAATGCGCCAATATATATAAGTAGCGCGCTCTGTTTTTGGCCGTATTGTTAATTTAACAATTAAAGCTTTTAGTACCCCGCTCGTACTGCTGTAATGACAGGGATAAGATAGGGCGGGGTATGGATTGGATCCCCTTAAGCTCTTAAGAGATACTAAATAACATTTTCATACATACTAGTCATCTATCAGTTAACAACATTATATCCAGACCTTACTTATATAAGTTCCTTGAGTGTATTGAACTTTTTACGCCTCTTTAGGCAGCACTTATATACGAATAGAGGTACCTTAAATTCATTATTTTCCCGACAACTGGTATCGTATCTTGGCTCATTTCGATAGCTAAGGGACCTTAAAGCGGTTCATAGCGTGTTGTAGAGGGTAGACGAACTTTATGATACAGTACTTAGGGTAGAAACTATACCAGAACATGCATAAGACAGCAAATAAAGATGAAAAACCAAGTCAAGCTTCTTTATGAGGTCATTTCTATGAATTTCCGCTAGGGATTGAAACTTAAAGCGGCTGTGTTGAAGTCCAAAAGCTAGAGGAATGGATTCATATGCCTTCATGCTATTCATCAATTTGGTTGACCGGACAATGATACAGAGCTCAACTTTACCTATCGTCCGAATAAAAGCTTGCACCGTTATCATCTCCGCCATTAATGCTAATCCTTCGAAACGCCCTGTGCCCCAAGAAAGATTGCAGAGGGGACAAAGTATATACAAGCATAGCGAGATAGACTTTTATAACAGACTACATGATCTCCTATCGTCGAATATATATTTAAATCGTTACTATTCTGAACTTGCTAGCTAAGTGGACCTGTGTGCAGTATTGTCGGGTTAAAATCCAGACTTGAGCGATAAGGACAGGGATAAGTCGCCAGAAGCTGGTTGTAAACGAGCTGTGGATGTCCAAGCTCTCAGGCAGGCATTAGTGTGCTGTTAGTCGGAGAGAGCAGGGGTCATCTTGGCACTAGATGTACTGTACGTGCGTCACGCTCAGTCTAATTTTAGCTATTCTCTTTAAATTTTACAAGAATTGATTGCCGACGCTGAACCTATTGTCCACTATGTGAAAAAGGCATAACTATCCTAAATACAGTTAAGACAGTAGTTAGCTGTGATATGATAAGTATTAGAGAAATATGCTGAACCGCAGGCGTTGACATTATTTATCTTTTGTAAATAACGAGCTGGAGTATTTGCGAGGATTCATTCTTGAGCTCTACGTATACTGTGCCTTTAAGCTGGCTATTTCTCCCCGCAATGTGCATTTTGAATAAGTGGTAGAAACAGAACTATCTGTATATTCCTTGAATATTCTTGATAGATATAACTCCTGAGGTTATCTTCTCGGCTTTATAGAACGGCTGTTTGAGATGATCCTAGAGATCTCTCAGCTTGTTGAGGCCCGCCGTGAGGAAGAAAAAGTGAACAGTCAATACCTACGGCTTTCCAGAACCAGTATGAGTCACTCCTTGCCAGGTTGCAGGCTTTGGATGCTATGAAGAAAGCACTGAAGGTCTTCGTCCCCGCCAAGAGCGCACCAGAGCAACCATGTTAAATCAGGAAGCCCTTATTGTGTGTCTCCATTCAGCCTTCTATTAAGATATGCTAGCCCACCTATAACTAGTGGTAGAACTTGAGATGCGCATCTATAAGGTAATACTGATCTTCTATGCCCTGTTTGTTAGCGACCTGCCTTACCGACAGATGCTTCTCTGGCCTGGCGCTATGATGGCTTTGTGTGCACGACAACAAGATCATATCCAGGTCTATGGAAGAGGCTTATGTATAAGAACCTCTTAAAAAACGGCTGGCGCTGTAAAAAAAAAAAAAACAGTACAGGACTGATTGAGCTGCTGTGGAATGACACAGATCCTCGGGCTTTTGGTCCGAGGGGCTTGTGCTACATCATGACAAAGCATGACATCGGGTTTGGACTGTTTTGAGGATTGTATTTATTACTCTTCAAGTGTTTATTTTGGAGGAAATATCCACGATCAATTATTGCTAAAGTTGTACCCAATGATTGCGCTACCTACCTGTACAGACCATTTTCCCACCCCATGACTGCTGCCTGTGCTTCGTATGCTTGAGAATAGTGGTCTAGAATATCTCCCTTGGTCCTTCCATCTCTAAGTTTCAGGACGACATCGAAGTCCTTGGGCCTCAAGGCTAAGTCAGAAATGAATCCGGTCTCCATGTTGAGGTCAATTTCTTTGCCTGGAGCTGGCATAATCTCAAAAGCCCAAAGGACCTTTGCCAGACCAAGCATCAAGCTCTGCCTCGCCGAGTCCATGCCTGGGCAAATTCTACGACCAGCCCCAAAAGCGTGGGTGAGCCGCGGGCCTGAGCCTTGGAGACGTGCTGGGTTATGCGCCTCATCTAGCTTCATCCCATATGGGTGATGGAGGAAGCGTTCTGGGATGAACTCATCAGGGTCATCATAGTCCTGCTCTGAGTGGTGAATGTGCCAAACATTGGCAATGACTGAAGTACCCTTGGGGATATGATAGCCTTCAAAGATATTATCCTGTGAGGGAGAGTGGGCAGCTGCTTGAGGAGCGACCGGGCGCCAGCGGTGAATCTATTAAGAGGTTAGTTGCAACTTTCCTTATGCTGTTGGATATGGTTCTGTGTACCTCGTTATAGAATGCCTCTAGGTATTTCAGCTTGGTTAGATCCGTTGCCTTTGGGGGCGCATCTCCCAATACCTCAATGACCTCATTTCTCGCGCGTCGCTGGAGCGCAGGATACTTTGCAAAGATCATCAGCCCGATCGAAAAAACTGCAAGTGAAGTATTCATAGCAGCTGATAGGATCTGGACTCCAGTCATGCCCATGTCCTTTTCTGTGAACATGGGTTCCTTTGCGCCACGCTGTTCCCTCAAAATCTTAGCCAGGAGGCTTTCCCACTCAATCGACTGGCCTTCGTCCAGAGCCGCGCGCTGTTCTTTAGCAGCACTGAGAAAAGATGTTCCTGCTAGTAGAAGTTGTTGCCTGACGTATCGAGCCTTTTTCTTCCATGCGGCCAGACCAAAAATCTCGGGGAGATAGCGAAGGAGTGG